TCCAAGCCTTGTATGGACAACCCCCAGTAACTATCTTCCATCACCAACCAGGCACTACCATGGTGAATCAAGTTGACCAACACTCTATGATAGAAATGAATTACTCACTCAGCTTAAAGCTAACTTACATGCAGCCACCAACTGCATGCAAAAAGTGACCAATGCCAAAAGGTGCCATATTGAATTTCAAGTGGGAAATTGGGTTTTTCTCAAGCTGCAACCATACCCACAACATACCGCCTTCCAAAGAGTTGTCCAAAAACTCTCATATAAATTATATGGGCCCTATCAAATGGAAACAGAAGCTGGGACCGGTAGCCTACAAACTAAAGTTACCCGCTGAATTAAGGATCCACCCTGTTTTTCATGTCTCACTGCTTCAAAAAAAATTAGAGAATTAGTCCTCCCAATTAAAGATTTACCCCCCACCACAGAAGAAGGTGATTTTGTGCTCCAATCCAATACAATCCTCAATACTCGTTGGATTAAGAAAGAATCTAAATTTGTTGAAGAAGGCTTGGTTCAATGGAAGCAGTTACCACCTGAAGATGCCACATGGGAGAACACCCAAGAGCTCATGAACAGGTTCCTCAACCTGAACTTGAGGATAAGGTTCTTTCCAACCGGGGGACTGATGATAAACCCAGAATTAAGAAGCCCATAAGGACCAATAGAAGGCCAATTCCAAACACGAAATATATGCACTGAACAATAATAAAAAAGCAGAAGCAGAACATGGCAAAAGAATTGTTCAAGCACCACTGAACGACCACCACCAGAATCGGTCAACTATCCTTAGTTTTATCTTCCATTATTTTGTAATTGCTTGTTTTCAGCTTTTTTATTCTTATCTTAATGCTTAGAAGTAGGAAATATGATTATTTTTAGGTTGTATTTAAAGCACTATGCTCTTCAATGAAATCAGTGAATTTTGATAAGCAAATCTACTGGTTTATTCTCACCACAAGCAGAATTTATCTCTTATCTATCTGACTAGGACTATCATATAGATTGATTTAGGCTGGACATTAATACTAAAATATATGTTGCATGTACTTATACTCGAGTGGTTAGGTAAGAAATTATCTTCATAGAAGCCAAGGATCTTGTTTATTTATGCTAGAGTTACTTTGATACAAGAATCTTTTAAGCCTTTCCATGTTTATATATTACTCGAATTGCTCTAGGTTTATACAAATGATACGAACTATTTTAAGGATTCTCTTATGGGGCAAGGGAAGAGAGAAGTCAAAACTTCCACTACATATGCTAATAAGATGTGGTGTAAAAGCAAGGGTTTAGGCGGGCTAGGGTTATTTAACATTTTCTAGGGTTGAACTAAGGCCTCTATTAAAGCGATTATAGAGGTTTAGCAAGAATGTGGGTTCCCTTATGCAAAACATATTTGTTTAATCTATTTGTATGATATGAATAAACTTTCTTCCTTTTCTACCATTTTATGGGAAAAATTTATAATATGGAACGATATCTTAAGATCTGTGCCCCTTAAGGATTCATTAACTTAACCAATCTAAGAGCATTTTTGAATTTTTTTAGGGAATAAGAATCAAGTGCATATATGGACTAGCATTTGGGTGGGTAATAGCCTAGTTAATTTTTTTTTTTTTTATGAATATTTCATCTCATTTGGCTCTAATATGGTGTAATAGGCAACTTTAGCTCCTGAACAAAATTTGGGTGGCAAAAGTTAGTGGCTTTAAGAAGAGAAGCCGTTGACTGGGAAAATGACAATTATGCAACCTTCTTATACCTATTAGACGTCCTTAATAGAACCCAAGATGATTGGGTAATGTGGATGAGTAATGTAAATTTCGTTGTATTTGTCAAATCTTTTAAGATTTATCTTCACATAATTACAACATCAGGTTTGATATCCTAAGAAGATGTCCTTTATGGTTGTTATGGGGATATTTTCTATTGTTATGCCAATGGTCTTTGGGTTTTTGTTTTTTTTTCCTTAATAGTTTATGTTCGAATAAGAGTTATAAAAATATATTCGACTTTTCCTTCTCTGTCACTTTATTGTCAATTTTGCAAGCGAAAAATATAGAAGTGTTTGAAAAAAAATCTTTTATCCTTACGATGTGTGCATGCCACATTAAAACAAGCCTTGGTTGGTTGGTGAGGTGTCATTTCCTGGTTAATTCCAAGGTATAGATATTTTATTCTTAGTCTTGGATAATGGTCCCTCTTCTTTACGGTCCTGATAATGTAATGTGGATTAATCTTCTAAGAGAAAGGTTAGTCCTTTAAGAACTTTGGGTACTTTATAATCATGATGGTAAAGTCATTTGTGCTTTCTATATCAATATTAAAGCACAATCAATATTAAGATTACAAATTCCAACAAAATCGAACTGTTCGATTGGAGGGAAGCCTTGAATTTGATTTTAGTTTTTAATTAGGTGGGATTGATGGATATATAATTAGAAGTCATTCTGTGGTTTAGGTATTACGGGTTTTGAGGGTGCACTATCTTTGGAAGCTAATTATGTTGCCAATAAGATTAATAACATGGTATGCATGATTGCCAACATTCAATTTTTGCCATATTTTAGGGAGAATAATGGTTTTACAAATGATTTTATGTAGCTTGATATTGGTTGAAACAATGATTTTGTAACTTAATATACTTTTGGTAAAGGCATGTATGTTGGGTTAGTCAATTATCGAGTTTGATTTAATTCTGGTGTCTATTGTGCTTTTTACTCCTTTTTTTTTTAGCTCTTGTTAGGTTGGGATGAGATCTATATATTTTGAGAACCTTTGAGCAAGTTAGGAAGCTATTCTTAGGTTTTCAATGTGATCCTTTGGTGTTTAACCAGCAAAGATTCTATGTTTACGAGTTTTTATAATTTTAGATTTTTTATTAAAGTATTCCTAAGGTGTTGATCATTCCTTACTCCTGCTAGTGTCTTGATTTACTGTTTATCTTTATTATTGCATCTCAAGCTTTGTTATTCTTCATTGGGCTTCTAGTTGTTGTCGTTTTGAATCTTGGTGTTAGTTCACCTTCTAAAAGTTATCATTTCTTAAAATTATTTTCTATATATGCATTTATTATCTTTTTAACTGTTGTCTGTTATTTTTAGTTCAAACAATTCTTCTTTTCCAGTTACACATCATTGTGTATGGTTCTTTTGTTTAGTTATAGTCTTACTTGGTCGATTGAGAGTCATAAATATGGTTTTAATGTGCCCTTATTGTGAGAATGCTTGGATCATCAATTTTGTTTCATTACCAGGATTTGGAATGTGAATTTATTATCAAATTGAGAGAAGTTTAAAGCTTTGTGGAAGAGTTCTAGTGCTTGGACTTACATAGATTTTAATATCTTTCTTGATATTCAAATCCTAAAGTTGTTACATTCTTTTTTTGAAATCTTTTATGCTTTTGTTTTCTGTCGGAGAATTCTTTTCCTACTATTTTTAACTACTAACATTTGGTGTTTAATTTGTTTAACTATTGATGATGAGACTCAATTTGTGTTTGCTTTTAGACTAAAGTCCCTTATTGAAAAATTAAGCTGGAAGCAATTAAAGCATTGTAGCATATTTAGATAAGCAGTGAGGCTCAAGAAGAAAAAGCTAAAGAAATGCTCAGTAGAGCAGAAAGACAAACGCGATAATAGAAAGAGAGAGCTGTAAATAAGAAATGAAGGCTATATGTTTATTAATGATATACCCATATTTATACATACAAAAAGTAAATGAGATTAATTAGGTAACTAATTACAGCTAAACTCTTAATTACAAAATAATTAGCAACAACTAACTATTAGCTACTCAAAAAACTATGGTTAATCTATAACTATAGTTTGCTAACAATGATTACTCTAATAACCCTCTTCAAGTGAAGTATACAAGTTTTGTACATCCAGCTTATTGATGGTTTGTTGAAATGCAAAATGTGGGAATGCCAGTGGGAAGCTATCTGCAAGTTAGCATATTGATGGTACAGGCAAAAATTAGATTAATCCATCAGATACTTTTTATCTAATGATGTAACAATCAATTTCGATGTGCTTTGTGCATACATGGAAGACAGGATTTTCTGCCATTTTGATTGCTGAGAGATTATCACAATAAAATGCAGTGATTGATGACGGAATCTGTAAATCATTCAACAGGTATTGTACCCATTGAATTTCGCATGTAACTGCTGCAAACGCTGGATATTCTACTTCTGATGGAGATCGTGAAATTGTTTGTTGTTTTTTCAACTTCTATGATATAAAAGCATCACTTAAAAATGCACAAAAATCAATTATTAATTTACATGAGTCTGAACAAGCAGCGCAATCAGAGTCAGTAAATATGTTTAAAATTAAAGAATTTTAAAAATGATAAAAGACGCCCTGTCCTGGTGTACCTTTGAGATATCACAAGACTCGATGTGCAACTTGAAGATGTTGTTGTGTTAGTGATTCTAGGAATTAAGAAAGTTGTTGCACAGTATAACAAATCTCTGATCTAGCATTGATAAGATATATTAGCTTACCTATTAGTTTTCTGTATGTTGTTGAATTTACAGAAGATGTACCATTCTATTGGATTAATCTAACAGAGTTTTTTGCAAGAGATCGAATATATATTTCCTTTGACAAACATTAATTCTTTATTGTAAATGAGCAACTTCCAATCCTAAGAAAAATTTTAATTTACTCATATCTTTTATCCTAAATATTTAAAATAAAAAATCTTTAATTGCCTGCACTTGATACATGTCATTACGAGTAATAATAACATCGTCAACGTATATTAAAAGTGCAATGAAATAATTCTTACTAGATTTTAGGAAAAGAGATTAATTTGAATGAGACTGAATATATCTTTAACTTTTTTTCTGTTAACTTGAAATGTCATTGACGGCTAGTCTGCTTTATAAACTTTTCTTCAACCTGCATACTTGATTAGATTGAGAAACATAAAATCCAAGGGAAAGAGTCATATAGACTTCGTCAAATAAATTATCATACAATAATACATTATTTATGTTTAATTAATGTAAAAATTGAGGCTATAAGATCTAATTGTGGTTAATTTTGCAACTCAAGAAAAAGTATCAAGGTAACCAATACTAGATTGTTGTGCCAACTAATCTAGTTTTATAATGTTTTATTGAACCATCTGCTTTTCTTTTAATTTTGTATACTCATTTACATCTTATAAGCCTCTTGTTAGGAGGCAGAGTAGTTAAGTCTTATGTTTGATTTTCTTTCAATGCTTTTAGTTCATTAAGCATTGCCTCTTTCCAGCAATGGTGTTTAATGGCTTCATTATAAACAGTTGGTTCCTTATCATTTGAGATGGGTAAGATGAAAGGCTTGTGTTTTAGAGAATGATAAAATATTATTTATATTATCCCTTCTAATCTTAGTTCCTTATGCGTTTGTGTTGTGTGGTGATGGACATCTTTAGTAACACCCTTTGACTGCTTTTGTTTTATAAAACAAAATTCTATATTTTTTTCTTTAAAAAAAATTCAGAAACATGAAAGCTACTAAAATCCAATCACCAATTAATGCGTTTAATATAGTGATAAGCTTCTATTTAGAAGTGAAATACAATGTGTTCGCCATTAATTAAAGAACAAAAATAATAAAAAGGGATCCAAAAATGTACAACATATGGAAAGTTAATAACATGCTTAATGCATGATGAAAGATAAAAAGAGACCATCCTAAAAAGGTAGATGATTTGCATTGTATTACCAGCACCAAAATATTTATAAAAAAAAGTGAATAAATCGATATCAATGAGAATTTGCCACAAATTCATAATGGTAAGTGGTACTTATTTACATTGCCATTTATCATTCAGTTCACATGATATTAAATTCAACAATATCTAATGCCACAACTGTAAGAAAACTTAAAAGAGAACCAACATTATTTTCTCCAAATTACATAAACTCTATTTCTACTATTCATTCTTCATACACAAATAATTAGAGAAAAATGAAATTTATATGGTTGATCTTTGACAAAGAATGAAGAAAAGAAGTTGCTAACATATGTTTTGATAAACTTTTTCTTCAAGAAAAAAGATAACTTAGATTAAGATAAAAAGAGTAGAAAATTTTCTAGTTATAAGATGACACAATGAGGAACCTCATCAACATACACAACATCCAAAATCTGATAAAAATGAGTTATTAAACAATGTGTCATGTATTACCAAAATCTCCACTGATAAATCTAACTTCATTGGTAATTAAGGTGTTTTTTGATAGCTAAAATAATTTCTTCTAAATCACTTTCCAAAAGAACAAGATATAAACCCCTCCAAACACCCTTTGTAATGCCAGTAAATTACAAAAGCTTTAGCACTCTTTACCAATAAACGCCTTTTAATTATCTTCACAGTGATCAATTTTATTCATGTACCTAATAAAGAGTACAAGGTTTGAAACCAAAATTTCATGGAGAGGTTGCTATACATAAGAATTTAAAACAAAAATTTATCACAAAAAGAAAACACATACAGACACAAAATATATTCATCAAAGTCTAGCTCTAAAATATTTACTTTGTTATATACCTAGCATCTATAAGAAATACCTGTTGTTCTTAAAAATGATATGTTCCTTTCTTCTACCTTTCTAAAGCCAACAAATAATTCTCTACTATATAAACAATTATCAAAGTTTGGTCCTAAACTCTAATACTTTTAGAGATCTTTGCAGATTATAAACAACTATCAAAGCTTCGGTATCATTCTTAAACCAAAACATTCAAGATTGTAAACTCTCTTGAAAATGAGTGGAAAAGTGTACCTCTAACCAATGCGCATTAACCACGATTTCACCAATAATCACCACAAGAACAAATTCCATCTTGAAAATGATGGAATCTATTCATATCTCTGATTATAATGTCTCGATGCACAATCTTCGATATCACTTTTATTGCAGTATGGCAATCCACACAAATGCGAAGATTCTTAATTATGCGAATAGTACTTCCAAATGGCATTTTAATAAGCCCAAATGCTAGTGCTAGTCTTTCACTATGTAACCATAAGTGCCAATCCTTTTCTTCATTGTCCACATCAAGTAGAACAACCTTACGGTTAGGAACATACCCCACTTTTCTGGTCTTCATGTTTAACCACTCCAACATTCCCTTTATTAGGTTCATGTCTGGATGTGAAGTATCCCTCACAATGAAATAGTGGACTGTCCCCTGGCTTTCGATCCAACTTAATCCCGGTTGTTTCTTCACCCCATTCTTTTTCATGCTTTTCCTAATAGATGTTACATTTCCCCAATTCTTTGCATTGGCATATATGTTTGATAACAACACATGGGTTGCATCATCTTGTGGTTCCATCTCAAGAATTTTTTGTGCTGAAATTTTTCCAAGCTCAATATTATTGTGAACAACACATGCACCAAGTAAGGCTCGCCACAGCATCACACTATGGTTGAATGAGATTTCCTCGATCAACTTCAAAGCCTTATCAAGATGCCCTGATCTCCCTAGAAGTCCGACCATACAAGTGTAATGCTCTATACAAGGTTGGATGCCATAATCCTGAACCATAGATTTAAAGCATAACTGTCCTTTATCTAATAGTCCTGCATTGCTACATGCTGATAAGACACCAACAAATGTTACATTATTTGGTTTACAACCTACTTCTTGCATCATCTCAAAACATTTTAAGGCCTCTAACCCCAGACCATGCATGGAATACCCTGATATCATAGCATTCCATGAAATTATGTCTCTTTCACTCATTTTCTGAAAAGATAAATGGGCATCTTGAATGCTTCCACATTTGGCATACATATCTATCAAAGTATTAGTGACTACAATGTCATTGTCATAATTGTTTTTGGTAGTCAAAGCATGAATCTGAGTTCCTAGATCCAAGGATGCTAAAACAGTACAAGCTCGAAGAGCACTGGAGTAGGTCACTTCAGTTGCCTGCACTTGGCTTTCAAACATTTTTAAGAAGAAACTCATTGCTCTATCTCCATCCCCCAAATTCACATAGCCAACAATCATCGTGTTCCAACTCACATCATTTTTGTCTTTTAGTTCCACAAACATCTCCATAGAGTTATCTATCCTTCCACATTTAGCATAAACATCCATGATTGCATTTGAAACAAACACATTCGAGTCAAGACCAAACTTAACAATATGGCCATGAATTTGCATTCCAAAATCCAAATTCCCCATAGTTGCAGTAGCTTGTAATATACTAGCAAATGTAAACTCATTAGGAATGACAAAAGCTTGCCTCATTCGACAAAATAGCTCTATTGCTTCTTTGCTTTGATCACTTTGCGCAAGCCGCGCAATCATGAAACTCCAAGGAATTACATCTTTCTTGGGAATCTCTTCAAATACTTGGACAGCATCGCCAATGTCCCTAGTTGTTGTATACAACTCAAGAAGTTCAACACCTACATAAATATCAAGCTCATAACGAGATTTTAAGACACACCCATGAACACCCCTTGCTGCTTTAAATTCCTCAAGTCCAAGACAAGCCTTAAGCACACCAACAAAAGTGAAGTGGTTGGGCTTGAAGCCTTGCATTCTCATCTGAGAGAAAAGCTCAAGGGCCTCCTCAAAATAATCATTCTCGGAGTAGCAAGCTAACATTCCAGTCCATGTCACCATATCTTTCCAGTCAATCCCATCAAACACCTGCCTGCAACTGTTAACACAGCCACAAACAGAGTAAGCATCAATAAGTGCAGTTCCCACAAAAGCATCATATTCTAGACCAAGCTTATAAATACAGGAATGAATACACCAGCTCATGTCTGCCCACTCCATTCTAACAAGCAACTTCAAGATGGAAGTGAAAACAAACGGATTAAGCTCATGGCCATCTCTATGCAACTTAGAAAACAACTCAATTGCCTCCACAAACATAAGAGACTCCGCGCACCCCTGAATCAAAGTAACAAAAGATACGGTGTTTCTCTCCGGCAATTCATCGAACAACTTGCGGGCATCGTTCAAAGACTCCCGTTTCACATAGAAACAAATAAGAATGTTGGAAGCGAAAAGGTCTAAGCAATTACCATTCTTTATAATATTGCAATGAAGAGCCATTGCTGTGAAAGTGTCATCGTTTCGGACGCAGCGTTGAAGCAAACTGCCGTACATATGAGAATCGAACACCGAGTAAGTTGGTTCGATGGACCTGGGGGTTTGCTGGGTCAGCAACATCAGGTTGATTGGTTGGACTTGGGCAGAGAACCCACGTCGTAGAGGGGGCGGCCATGAATCGAACTTGCAATGCTTTGAAAAGTTCAAGAATTTACAGGTTAAAAATCTGAACATGCGACTTTCAGTCAAAAGTTGACGACAGCCGCGAATTGATTTACAAGTTATTTTAGGAGGGAAATTTCGGAAAGCAGAGCAAATGGAAATTAATGAAGCTATGAAGCCCGGGACACGACCAAACGCTGCGTTTTAATCATATTATATATAGATATATAGAGAGCGTACTTTATGTATGCACATAATATATTATTTTATATAACTTGGTGTAAGTTACCTTATCAGGCCACACCCGAGAAAATATTACCCAAGCTTAATTTAATTATTTTTTAATTGATATATTTCATTTATATAATTAATTAAATATGATTCGATGCATATATAAATATATTCATAGCATATAATTAATTTAATTATTTGTACGTATTAATAAAATAATGATATATAATTAAAATATTCAACATAAATATTATATTATTCTTTAATAATAATTATTAAATAAATTATTTTAATAATAATATTTCGTTTATATATTTTTTTATTTACTTTCATAAAAATAAATAATTAGATTTATTATTATTAATATATACATTGTTATATAATATTTTTATTTATTATATGTAGAGATCCGGAAATTAAAAGAAAATAAAGTCACAAATTGAATACGGAAGCAAAATAATAGAGTTATGATTTATAGTTTTTATATAATAATTTAAAATACCCACTAGGACTATTGGAATATCCATTCTAAACATTCTAAAAAAACAAACGAAAATCAAAGAAATAAATAACTGAACATCCTAAGACGACCTTCACTAGCTTTTAAAGGGAATCCGGGTTGTAAACTATTCACAACTCTTTTGTTGATCGAGACCTGGATCTTGGTCATCTTAATCTGAAATAGTTAATAAAAATATGATATATACTAATCCAGTAAGAATATCAAACTACTCACTGATACAGAATTTGAAGGTTAGTAAAAATCATAAAAACAACCAATATAGCTCTTAATTTAAATAAATTCGTTTATCATAAGTAAAATTATTTATTACATACCTACTGTTGCGAGATTTCTAAAATTAACTTATAGAGACAATAATTCAAATAATATTATAATATCATATTTAAGTAATGAAGAACAATAACTTTTCCTTTTTATTTGCTTATTGATATCCCTTGAAATCCATAGGAATATCTCACTACGCGTGAATCAACATCTAAATTTGTCAACTAACCAGCCATCCCCATACCACGTCCGGTATGAACGCCAAAATACCATATCTCGATACACTGTCTGGTATGAGGGTGAGTCAGGCTATCTCCATACCCCGTCCAGTATGAACGCCAAAATATCATCTCTTAATACTTCGTCAAGTATGAGACAACATTCACGGTAGAGTCCCCTATATACCCGATCCGTCTACCATTTTGCAGGATATCCATTAAGACAATCATTCATCAATTCACATAACCAGAAAAATTTTCTATTTCCATATTAATTTTTAATTTCACAAATCAACCGTAAATCACGCAAGACAAGTAATACATCAAGGAAGCACAACTGAATCATTTAACTATTTCAGTATATTAACATGTATTTAAATCTGTAAAAACAAACAATCAGTTACATAGAACAAACAATAAATAACTAACTGATTTCGGCTCCATTAATAACTTATAATTATTCTCAAAAAATTTTTAAATTATACAAAATATCATATTATCGATTATTAAGCTTCAATTCCATAACAAATAATAAGGTGAGAGATTCTTACCCGAATCGGTGTTCGAAATTTTGAACTTTCTACTGCGCCTACTGGTGGTCTTTGAGTTTCCTAAATTTTCCTACAAAGATTAAAACATGCTTCACGTACCTAAAAATACCAAAAAAACTCAAAATCGGTGTTAAAAATCTTTTTCTAGCTAATTTCGAGGTTCCAGCACGACGACACCGCCATACTCCGACGACGGCACCACCACCGCAGGTGACGGTTTGCCTCAGTCTGACTGTTTTTGGTCGATTTTGACCGGTTTTGGCCGATTTTATACCCATCCATGCAAGAAACACGTTAGGGGGTCTCGATTTGCCCAAAAAAATCAAAAAATAGAAACCTACTGGTGGTGGAATTTTCTAGGGCAGCGTGTAACGGCCCCGGAAATGTTAAAATGGAGTGAGTATTTAAACACATAAAATGCGGAAGCGAGATCAAAATTTCAGTTAACATCCCTTACACGAAAACCAAAAACGTACTTAAAATATAAAAGATTAAACTAACTAAAAGAGAAACTCGAAAATAAAACTATGAGTATGACTACAGAGTCTCTAGGCATCCCCTTCGTCGTCCCCCTGCAGAACGGGCTCGGGACCCATGTCTTCCTGATCTGAAATGGTTAAATAAGGAGTGAGCTACACTAGCCCAGTAAGAACATCACGATATCTCACCGTCACGGAGGTAAAGGTGGGTAGAAAAACACAAAAGACCAATGGAGCATGATTTACAACAAATCCTTTTATTTATGATAAAACCTTTGTCATCCACTTACCTCGGTGGAATTCATGAAACAATATAAGAAAAACAATAACATTATCACAATCATGGAATAATATAAGCTGTAAAACATAGCACTTATCACGCCTTTTGTAATTCAATCATTATACAACATATCCTTTTCTCATTTACCAGCTTACTAGTATCCATGGGGGTCCATAGGGGTCCCGCTACCCGTTAACCTTTAACATTCATAATCAGTTTCCAGGGCCGTCCCCATACCCCGTCCGGTATGGGCGCCAAAACCATAAACCTCAATACCCCGTCCGGTATGAGGGTGAAACGGGCCGTCCCCATACCCCGTCCGGTATGGGTGCCAAAACACATAAGATCTCCATACCCCGTCCGGCATGTGAGACCACAATCCCGGTAGGGTTCCCTACGGACCCAATCCGTCCACCATCTCCCAGGATATCTAGTCAGGCTGACCCCATCATACAATTATCAGTCTACACCATCTTTCATTTTCCTCTTCCTCAGTAAGCATTATCAATTCACATTTTAAACAAGCAAATCATAATTCATGCCAAACAGACAACATACAGTATCAATTTTTCAGTCATTCAACCCATAATTAATAAAAACGTAGTATATGCACACAAATCTGTAAAATGAACACATCAAACCTCATTTTGCATTTAAAGCTGTAAACAGGCCAAATAACAGTAAATCATCAATCACACTAGACTCGGGCTCCATTAGCAACCTTAAGCAAGTTCACACATTCGTTAATTCAAGAAATACCGTTTTATCATTTTGAACTTTAATACCGTGATAGAAAATAGGGTGAGGGGTCCTTACTCGTTTCGGAGTCCGAACACGGCTTCACAGTGCGCTTGCAGGCTGTCCCTAATTTTCCCTGAATTTTCCTCGGGGAACTGAAACGCACTACTGGTACCTGCACGTGTTCCAAAAAAATCCCAAATTAGGCCCAGGGCCCTTTTCGGCCCAAATCGCAACTCCGGCACGGCGGCTCCGCCGTGCTCCGGCGACGGCGCCGCCGCTGGCGGCGGCGAGTCGCCTCCGGTTGGCTGTTTTTGGCCGTTTCCGGCCGAATTCGGCCACACTCGCATCGGTCCCTGTGAGAAAACAACCCTAGGGCCCTCGGGGGGCCAAAAAATCACGGAAAAACGGAGCTTACCGGCGGCAGCGCTCTCGGGTGCGGCGGCTCTCTGGCGAGGTTCGTGTTTTGGTGATTCGGCTCCGGTCAACCTGTAGAGAAAAGAATGGTGATCACGGTGATATAAAAATTGCATCAAACGGAGGCCGGGAAGGGCCTCGTCGGAGGCAAAAACCGAGAGGGGGCGCGGCGGCGCCGCTGGTCTTCGGCCGCGTATTCCGGCCGTTTGGCCAGGATTTTGGCTTCGATTTGGCCACAGGAGGAATCAGCGTGGAAAAACGAGTCGGGGGTATGAAATTTACCTCGATCGGCGGTCGGAAATTTCCCCGGTGCGGCGGCGGGTGGCGGCGGTCGGCCTCTGGTTCGTCTTCTCTGGCGAGCGGCAGGCGGCTAGGGTTTGTGGTCTGGTGTGGGGGTTCTATTTATAACCCCTTGCCTTTTGATCTCAGCCGTCCATTTTGTTTTAATCTGGGCCGTTCGTTTTTGATTGAATCTGGGCCGTCCGTGCGATTGTATCTGGGCCGTCCGATCGCGCGATTGATCTGGGCCGTCCGATCGTGCCCACGTGGATCGCCAACGTGGCCCGTTCCGGAGCGACGTGGTCTTGCCACGTGGCAGGCCCTGGTTGGCCGGGACTGCTGACCGGGCCTGCTGACGTGGCTGCTGACGTGACTTTTTTTTTTTTTTTTCTCGGTCCGGGCGCTACACAGCGGCTCTACTGGCTCACCTTCGAGCTGAGCATTTTTTTTCGATCAACCTGTAAAAAACTGAACGGTGAACACAACAATGGAAAAATTGCATGAAACTGGAAACAGAAATGGGCTCATCGGAGGTGGTTACGGGTTTTGCCCGTGGCGACTCGGTAGGAATTTACCCGCAGTTTTTGGCTCACTTGCCTGTTTATTTTGTTCCGATATGGTCATAGGAGTGCTTGGAATCAAATTCTTAACAGGTGGAAGAATTTTTACCTTTTTTGGTGGTCGAAAGTGACTCCGGTGCGGCAGCAGGTAGCGGTCAGCTCCCTTCTCCAACGACTGGTTCTTCTTCTCTGGCAGGGGGCTTGCGGCTCGGGTTCGTGTTCTATGTGATGCAAAATATTTATACCCATCTCACGTTAATCTAGATCGTTCATTGTATTTAATCTCGACTATCCGGTCGCACCTAAAGAGGAAACGAATATGCACCGTTCATCACATTTGATTCCGACCGTCCGATCGCGCCTAAGGAGGAAACAAATATGGACCGTTCATTACATTTGATCGTGACCATCCAATCACGCATGAGGAGAGAATGGATCCAAGTCGTGCACGCACGCGGGAACACTTATGGGTTGTCTGATCGCGGGGCACGCGAATCGCCAGTGCGGCCTCCTGCGTGGCACCAAGTCAGCATGCCTTGCCACGCGGCACACTCCGGATTATCGAGGCTGATGACTGGGTGGTCCTACGTAACAAAATTTTCTTTAATTGAGTTCTAACCTCCAGTTTC